GGAATTCTGTTTCGGGAGAAAAGCCCGTTTGTTGTAATTGATGTGAGGGAGGGGGGGAGGGTAGGGTATGGGGGTAGTGGAGGTGGAGAGGGAGCGACTGGCAGGGTTTGTGTGTTTGGCCGGCGGAGCGTGATTTTAGGGTAAGAATAAATTTTTGGCGTGGTTTTGGTTTATTTTTGAGATCTTTCCCTCGGTAACAATCAGGGCGGTGTTTGGGAAAATTGTATATACTAAAAAGGTTTGGGGAGCCACGGGGCAGGGTTTTTTTTGGGTTAGCCTAAGGGATCTTTTGCGGGGCGTGGGTTTTAAGGGATGTTTTTGGGAGGGGGGCCCCTAATGGTTGAGCTACTTTCATAACAGGGATCGCGGCCAGGCTCGATAGGTTAAAAGTGACGGAAGGGGGCGAGTGATGTGTTGCGTACGGTGGAAGTGTTTAACGGACAAGACTGTTTATCGATTGACGGGGCCAGCTTACCAAAGAGGTATCCAGGGTTTTGGAAGTTAAATGGAGATTTTTGGGGGTGGAGGGGGCGGGGTTAGATTTTAGGACAAATTGGGAATTGGGGGGAGAGGTGGGGTTGGGTGACTTGCTGGGGTGGGGGGTGGGGTGCTAAGGAAGGACCCCGGCGTTTTATGGCGATGGGGAAAAGAAACCAGGGTTGGGATGAGACGGTTGCAGCAGTATTTCGGGGTAGGGTTGAAAATTTGTTAGAGAGGGGCGTGCAGGCGGGGCAGTTCCCGGGAGAAATCGAGTTGTAAAAAGGAAAGTTTCGTATTGCAAATGATAGATTTGATGGGGTGGGGTGCGGGGTGGAATTAAGAGGCGGTGTGGGGTGACCGACCACGGTGTTTTTAAAGGGGCAGAGGCAGCGACTTTGGCTAGGAAATTATAGGCTGGTGGTACATGAGGCCTTGGGTGGATATAGGGCGGGACATGAGTTAAGAACAAGGGAGGATGAAGGTTACGTTGATGGGGGGGTTTGGAAAAATTTATTTGTTTGGAGTGGTTGGGGAGGCTTTTGGGGTAGGTTGGGGGGGAATGACGGGTAAAAAGTGAATGCATGGCGTTTGGGGGGGGATATTGAAGAAGGGGGAGGGGAGGTTTTAGGAAGGGGGGCAGGGGTAAGGCCCAGGTTGGTTTTTGGTTCCCTGCGTTTTGGAAAAGGGATTTTTAATTTTTAGTGATTAATGTTGGGGAAAAAAAAGGGTGGGGGGGAGGGGCGGTTGGGGAAACGGGTTGGGTTTTAGTAAAAAGGTAAGGGCAGGAAGGGGGGTTTTTGGTTAATTGGCGGGCGAATAAAAATTTTTGAAAAATTTTGGAAATAGGATAAAGTTTTGGTGGGAGGGTTTTCGGGGAAAATAGGTTGTAAATGTTGGGGGTGGTTTAAAAGAATTTTGGGGAAGGGTCGGGGGGGGCAGGGGGGGGGGTTTGCTTAGATTCAGGGGCTTTAGGGGTTTGGGTGGGAAAAGTGAGGGTTGGGATTATTAAGGACAGGGTTTTGGGGAGGAGGTTTTACTTTGGGGAGAATTGTAATCGGTGGGGGGAAGTTTAAAGTAAATGGGAAATTGGGGAATGGGTTAGGGTGGGAAGGATTTCCCGTTAATTGGGCCCTGTTTAAAGTTTATAAAAAGGTGGAAAGGGGAGGAGGTATTGGGGGTGGAAGTGGGGGGGGGGATTGGATGGGATGAGACAATTCTGCGACCGGGGGTTTTCGTTGGTTTTGGTGTTTTATAATTTGGCGGGGGTTACCTTAAAGAGTTAAATGGGAAAAAAAAATTTACTGGCTTAGGGATGGGGTTGGGGGAAGAGAGGTTGGGGGGTGATTGGGAATTTAGGTGGCAGGTTTAAAGTGGGGGTAGGTTAGGGTAACGGGAGGGGGATGGTTAAAATTGGATTGTTGGGGATCAGTGGTGGGGGATTGGGGGTTGAGCCCCAAAATTTAAAAGGGTTTTACGTGCGATTGTTGGGAATGTGGTGATAAGGGAAAGTCTGGCCGGGTGCGGTTTTTTTCCGTTCATCCATGTTACGGGCGTTTAAAGAGGTTTTCCTTTTCGGGTTGGGGGGGTTTGGGAATGGTTTAGTAGGATTGGGGGTTTTTTAGGTAACAGGGGGATGGGGGTTTTTTTTATTTTTATTTTTTTTTTTTTTTTTTTTTTTTTTTTTTTTTTTTTTTTTTTTTTTTTTTTTTTTTTTTTTTTTTTTTTTTTTTTTTTTTTTTTTATTTTTTTCCTGTCATATTTTTGTTTTTTATGTATCTGCCGTCTCTGCATTATGGTAAGTTTTTGCCTTTTTCGGGTGGTAATTCTCAGTTAGGAAGGTTTGTCAAGAAACAGGAAAGTGTTTCCTGAGGCGTGGGTAGTTAGCCACCTGATGACTCCGAGCTGGGTAGCTTTGGCCACTGACGCGAGGCTTCCCGCTGGCTTATCCACTCCACCTTGAAAATTTTTTATAATTATACTGACATTAGTCAGAACACTTGATGCCTTCGGGAATTAGTGGAAGGGAGTATGGAGTCCTCCCCTCCTGGGTGACTGATCTACCTGGTGTACGCTGCTGCATGTGAGACACTGATCTTCAACACGGTCACGTCATTCCCACGAAGAACGGTTTAATTTTCACTCACCATGGGACTTCGTATGTATTACGCTCAGAATTCATCTGTTACTAATAATTTAACTGCCTTATGAAGCATAACCGTGTGGTCACAGCACGAGTGGTGTGTGGCTGAAGTTCTTCCGTTGATGAGCGCGATACAGACAGGCTAACTGCCATTACATGTCTATGTAAAGAACTTACATGATAATATCCTTTGGTGTATAACTGTATTTTCTCTTTACACTTGCAATTTATCATGCTTCTTTATTACTTTTCTTCCTTTTCTGCGACATTCGATAAGATTTTCCGATAGCCCCAAAGAAGAAGAAAAAAACGATAGTGTACACTTTTATTGTAATCCTTAAATTGTGAACGGGTAAGAGTATTGTTGGTGTAAATTCTTTGATAACATACCCTTCCATGTTTTATGGCATCCCTGGAAAGTCAGTTACGATCATACAAAAGAGTCGAAGATATATGGTTGGTATGTTATTATCTGTCAGGGAATAATTTGTTTTCTGTAACGTGTCTTGATTACATGTAGACCATTTTCAGTGAGTTAAGTATCCTCTGGACAACCCAGTACTTCCTTACCTATAAAATAATAAACCGATCACTACATATGTGTCCATCCTAGATATTCTAAAGCCAATGATCTCAAATGTATTATATCAATCTTATGTGTATAATAGTTTAAGTTTTCTACAATTTTGGTAAAACTGATTTAGCAATGACATGTTTGAAATAACTGTTTTGAATAATCTAATTCTTTTTATGTTTGCATGTTTCAATTTACAAATTAATAGTCATTATCCTGCCTTAGCTAATTTTAAAGCCTAGCCCCTCCCGCCCAACCCCCCCAAACCTAATGTACAACCTACAACAGTCGACTAACACCCAGGTACCTATTTTACTGCTACGTGAGCAAGGACAGCTGGTGTATGGAGGGAGACTTGACCCGCACTGAGTAAATTTCTCATTATGCAAGGGTTTATTTTTAGTTGAAAAATTGGTTGGAAATTAATCTTGCTAAATCAGATGTCATTTATGATTATACTATGTATGTTATCAGCATGCAGATTTTTATCTTTGCAGTAAAGAAATTTTGTCTAACTCATTACTGCCACACCTGGTGAGGAAGTGGGGTATAAGACAGTCTTACACAGTATTATTATATTAAAAAACGAAGAGGCACAATACCGCAACTGGCACAATACACAACCCGCACATAGAAAGAAGCTTATGATATTTCAGTCCAACTTGGACCGTAAAGTTTCGGTCCAAGTCGGACCGAAACGTCGTCGTAAGCTTCTCCCTCCCCTATGTCTGGGTTATGTGTATTATATTAAAAACAAGCGCTAAACGCGTGTGGGTCATACAGCGTTGCGACTGGAAGGGGGTGCACACGGTAGGGGCGAGAGGATTGCGAAATGAGAGCAGTAGGCGATGCAATAGCTAAGTTTCGGTCAAAAACTGAGCCTACATTTGATGTGGGACTTTAGAAGAGGAGGGAGGGCAGTGAGGGTGAGCGTGGCGGGACACAGCCTTACATAGCTGTGGGGGAGAGCACACAAGATCTGCCTGAGTCATCATCTAACTTTACCATCACTACCCCACAAATATATTTATGTTTAGGCTGTGTGTGCACCTGCCACACTTAAATAAAATTACTAATATTATTATTATCTATTGACTTGTGTTTCAGCTGGTTTAGAGGTGTTGATCTCATTACCAATTTTACTCAGAATAATAATAGAGTATTATGACTTAGTCTTGACGCTGTTCACACTAAAACATGATAACCTTTCACAGCACCGACTCGACATACTTAAAACTAATTAGCAGTTATGTGTGACGTTACCCTGGGCGGGGTAGGAAAGGGTCACTATTGCTAAAGAGTTAATAATCACGTAGGAACCTCGTCAAAATAAGTAAAGGTTTGACCAGGAGATAAGATAAAATGTTTAAAATAACTGGTCCTTCAGGGGGAGTTTCTTAATGACAGTGAGAGGCTTTTGACCACAGGAGATGGATCAACCCTCCTCTTCCATAGGACATTATTACATCTCATTTTCAGGTGCAGTAAGATCCCTACAAGTTTAGCACTTCCCTGTGGATATAATACTAATAACAACAAGACTAAACGAATATTCGAAGTGCAAGAACATATTCGAATAATACAGAGACTTGTGCATTGAAGCGTTAAAATTTCTGGTGTGACGGGTTAAAGTGAGTTTAAGTAAGATTTGTCAAGAAACAGGACAAATGTTTCCTGACGCAGGTCTTAGTCATATGATGACCCGCCGCTTTAGCTTTTGGTCATTTGAGTGAGGCCTTCCACTGGCATACCCCTCCATCCCATTAAAAAATATGGTTATGATTATAACCATTTCATTAATTTAAGGAGCTACCATATTTCGTTCCTGTCACCTATGACAGGACGCGGGAGAAATTAGAAGAATTAGATACGTGTGCAACATCTGGGTATATTTTTTGTACAAAAGCATTAAGTCGCAGGTAAAATAGCAACTAGCGAAAATTGTGGCACAGTACCATGTATCACAAGAAATGTTATTACAATGAAGTATTTATCAGGCTAAATTCCCGTCAAAACCAAGTTTGATATTCCCGAAAGGGAAGAAGAGTTTCCAAGGGTCACAAAGTCCCCAAGAGGGACAAAGTCTCCAAGAGGAACAGAAAAGTCCCCAAGATGGACAGAAAGTCCCCAAGAGGAATAGAGGGACAAAGTCCCCAAGAGGTGAGAGGATCATAAACTCAAGGGCCACAGAGACGGTCAACTGTCTAGTGAACACCAAAGTATCAGTAATCACTCTTCCGTAAATACACAAGTGTTTGTGTTCGTGTTGCAGGAAGCGAGAACACTTGAGAGGATATTCTTGCAAGCTGCAAGGAACAACAGACCGCTTGCAACCGCCTCCCGTCATCTGTGGTATAATAAGAATTATATAAACAGTAATAATAAGGATGACGTACATAGTGTTCAGTATGCAGGAGACCTATTACATATGTGTAGCTAACAAAGAGATAGAATTAGGAGAGGACATGTTACACAAGGTTGTGTATAACTCAGTGATGTTACACAAGGTTGTGTATAGCTCGGTGATGTTATACAAGGCTTGTGTATCGTTCAGTAATGTTACACAAGGCTGTGTATCGTTCAGTGATGTAGCATCGACAGGAAGACGTCTAGTTCTGAACACTTACCATGGCTAAGGGACTGACCATCTCAAATTAATTCTTTTTCAAGGCTGAGGGACAGTTTACCTGATATTTACCTCTCCACTGCTTCTGCTGTCTCTAATATTCAAGTCACCTCTGTATTAAACTCAAGAAGCCTGCTAAGCAGACGAACCATTTCAACATTAAAGATGCATTATTATACACGTATCTTGCTCAACTTCTCGGTATTGTATAGTATACAATACTGGCAAGTAGTTGCTTCTATTAATGATATACATAATGTATACCAATAATACAAGCAACTGTAATTTAAGTTTCTGCCTGACGAGAATACACGCCTCACTAATGTTAACTGATGGTTTCATGTTTTCCAACATTCTGAAACCTAACTAAATCTTACTAAACCAATCATAGCCAAATTAAATATAATCAAACCTAACCGAATCTAACCAAATTAAACCTAATCATACACAAAAAATAACTAAACCTAATTTTCATAGCATCGTTGCTAATAGAGTAATGCTCAGAAGTTTATGTTAGTTACAGTGAAACTAATATTAGTGATACTGAATGAACGGGGAACATTGGAGCCCATGGCTAGGCAGTGATAAGAGCGCCGACCTACTAGTTGCAAGGCCAGCTTGCCGCAGGTTGCAACGTTACTTGCATGTTTCCTGGGTTGCATACAGTCGTATTACTACGACTGTCGTGAGTCGGAAGTGATATTGTGATGTGATTAATGTGAGTGACATTCATGTAATTAATGTGTCCCGTAGCTCGACTGGTAGCGCACTCAGTTAACACACTAACGTTCAAGGTTCGATGCCCGGTACAGTTGGAAACATTAGGAAGTGTTTTCTTAAGCCACCTGCTGTCTATGTTCACCCATCAGTAAAATGGGTACCTGGGTGTTAGTTAACTGGTGTGGGTCGTATCCTGGGGACAAAATTTAACTAATTCGCTCGAAATGCTCTGCGTAAGGAGCTTTCTATATAGCAGTATGTCATTGATGTCAGCTAGGCCTGTATACCTTGAACATGTACAAATAATTTTAAAGTTTGTCATAATAATCTCAGTGATCTAGCTGGTGGCTTCTTTAATGATGGCTTGTTTAATTAACGTTGCTGAATCTTACCACGCGTCCCCTCATCCCTCGAGTGGTAAGGTGAATGAAGTTAGGAGAGGAATGGTCGAGGTGGTGCTCGCGGACTTAGGTAGCTTCAGATCAAGGAACACGCAAGACCTGCCAGTCATCTTCGTACCTGTTCATCTCTACTGCAGAAGTGTACCTATGGTTAGTCTGTATCTGCATCCAACACATTAAAGCAGAATGACTAGCATTTTAGTGTGATTAGTCAATGGTACAGTGGGTTTACAGGTACTGATATCGTTACTGAGTGTACTTAGATTATTATTTTTTTCATTTGAGAATGCTGATCCTCAGGGGCTATACAATGCCTGAAGAAGTAATCAGGTTTCATCCATAGAAGGGTAGGGGAGTGCCAGTTGCTTGGAACAAGAGCCCTTTTCCAGCATCACTGCACAAAGTAATGAAAAGAACAGGTGGATAAAAAAGAGCGGTGACAAAATATCACCTGGGAAGAACCCTCCCCCTCCCTCCCAACCTCCCTCAAATAAGAAGGGATCATCACCCCTTTCCCCTCCTTCCCAAGACCCTGAACATACCATAACACATCAGACTAATGAAAAGCTGACACTTTTCAGACTATTAAAAAGACAGGTGAACAAATACTTGGACAGAAATAAAAAAAACTTTCAGTATTAGGCCTAGTGTTTGATGACGGGTCTTATTTACATTTTAACCGCTTGTCGGCATCGATTACCTAGGTTTGTACAAGTTTTCAGGGGCCTTCAGTACTTCTGGTCATCACCTGAGTATGCAGCAATATGGAGCCCCAGGTTTAGCACTCCCTCACGAATGTAATAATATGGAGCCCACATCAGTCAAATATACAAACTCGAGAGAAAGTTAAAACGTTTGCCAATAGACTACTGTAGTCTCTAGTCTCGAATCGTCACCTCTCAGGGGCCTCGTAAAATCAATGATTGCGTCGGAGTTCAACTCAAGTATCGACGCCGAACTATAGCAATGCATCGTGTGGAGACTATTATGTCTTAAGAGCACCAGTGGATATAAGCCCACTCTCTGACTTGATCGAGTTACCTTTAAGTAACTCTACATAACGTATTTTTTCCCCACAGACTTCAGGTAGATTTTATAGAGTGATCTTGAAGACAGATGTTATGGGCACAGAAAAAGTATATTACGAACATTTAACATATAAGATTGAAAATAAAGACACGTTTCACCCTCTATCAAGAATGCAAGAACAAGCAAATACCAGCCTTACAAGGCACACTAGCACCCTGAGGTCAGGCACGTAGAAAGACGGGTCACGTGTGAGGTCACGAAAATGCAAGATCAAATACAGCTGAGGTCAGGTATTAGTAAGAGTAGGCGGGGTAAACGAATTGCTTGACTTCGTGCTACTCATTTCTCTTATGAAGATTTTCTTATTCCCGTAAACTTAATAAAGTCTTGCCTTGGGCGAAACGTTTTATAAAAAAGGATTATCTGCTACCGGTGTTTTTATTTTCACTTTTATTTTCGTTTTTGTCATTGTTTAATGGTTCTAAGGGCACATGGATACTCGAGGCATGAAACAACATGGCCATGGACTGAGCCGAGGGGAAGTGACCCCCGGGTATTATTTTATCTTTTATGGGTATTATTTTATCTTTTATTTCATGGGGAGCGCTGAATCCGTAGGGGGTTATACAACACCTTAGGGAATGGAAGACAATCAGACTGACTTCCATTCCCTAAAGATGTTACAATTTGACAACTCAGCCTTATAAGCCTTCTGCTGTTCTATTTTTTACAGTTCCTTGAAAATACGATAAATCACAAAAGCGCTTGGAAATTCACTATTTTTTTCCACAGTGTCTATTCAGCATATTATGATACCACCTGTTTACTGTGATCTTATTGCATAAAACATCTACTGTATCATGCCCTCGGAACCATTAAGACAAATTTATAAAGAACAAAAAGGCACAATACCGTGATTGGAACAACACACAAACAACCAACCTACATATAGGAGAGAGAAGCCCAGGACGACGTTTCGGTCCGCTCTGGACCGTTTACAAGTCACAGAGTGACTTATAAATGGTCCAAGTCGGACAGAAACATCGTCCTGGGCTTCTCTCTCATACGTGCGGGTTGTGTGATACAAATTTACATTACCGTCTGTAAAACATTTATATTATTATTATTATTATTATTATTATTATTAAGGTAAGAGAGTGAGAGGCCAGGAGTGTTGCCTGATGGATGGACATGTGTACCTCAGTGAAGCACTAGTGGAACGCCGTCTAGCCTGTGTCTGAGTCTCAGTAACGTGACCTTAATCAAAAAGAATGTCACCAGTACAACGTTGGCCCTCGACTTACTGCAGATTAAATACGCCTGATTTATCCACTTGGCAGTACGAGTGATTTATATTACCTTTGATTCACACACACACACACACACACACACACACACACACACACCACCACACACACACATAATATATATATAATTATAAATATATATATATATATATATATATATATATATATATATATAATAATATATTATAAAACAACAGGCCTAGTGTCTAATCAACATGTGCCTAGGACAAAATGGTAACACACACACACACACGCGCGCGCGCGTCTTAAAAAGCCTCATATTTACTTCAAATATTATACAGCACAAAGTGGAAATAAACACTTTTTCGTATTTTTCTAAATTCAGAGGCTAAACTCTGATATCCTACCTCAAGTAATGTAAGAAACCAAACAACACTGTATAAGCTAAACAAACAACTCCCGCCCACCCCCAGAATCACACCTGCTTCACACTACCAACACCAAGGCACCTATTTTTTTTTTTTTCGCTAGGGTAAACAAAGGCGGCAGGTAGGTGTAAGGGAACTTGTCTCCACCTTCCTAGAAGAACAGGTATTTACATACAGTAGGTAGCTTTCTAGGTTTACTGTTTTAGTGATACAAGGCCCGTGTGGGTTCCTCTCATGTACAACCTCCCCAATATTATACTCCACCTGACTCTTCACACTATATATACTAATGTACTATTTACCCAGGTAGATCTGTTTGTCAGGTAAACTGTGTGTGCGAAACGTAGTCAATAAAGGATCACATTATACTTCATTTGTGTTTAGTTTTCCATCGTGTCAGTATTTTATATTAGTTATCTCCATCGTGATTTCCTCTGACAAATGAACAACAGGTGACCTGTCAAGTGGGTTTTCGATACGTGGATGGGTAAAAATACTCACGTAGGCTGGTAGTACGTATAATATGTTGTGTCCCGCCACTTGTAAGTGTTGTGTGCCCCGCCACTTGTAAGTGTTGTGTGCCCCGTCACTTGTAAGTGTTGTGTGCCCCGCCACTTGTAAGTGTTACACTTCCAGTTTTGTTTCTTGTTTTATTTTTATTCATATTTTTCATATTTCTTTGAACAAATTCACTCTTAGTGTAATTTCAATTTCTTTTTTAACGTAAAGTGTTTTCTTTACTCTGAGTAAATTGTTTTGTCTAATTTACAATTAAAGAGTTAAAGTGTTCAATCAGTTTTTCTTCATATTTTTATTTTATTATTTAACCTACATTTTCCCAGTGTAACTTTATTACTGCAGTGATTATTTCCGCGCCTTA